ATTAAAAAAATGTTACTGTCAATGAATTCATTAAGGATGAAACATGGTGCCTCCCCTTGCGTCACGTCGAGTGCAGACTGTCGCACGGGAGATAAGGCAGCGGGCCACTGGTTGGAACTAATGATCATGTGTGCAGTCTTCAATGAACAAACATGTTCGTCTGAGTTTCTTTGGGACCGAATCAAGAAGAGCAGCAGACATGTGTGCATTGCATTCTGTTAAGGACATATATGTAAATATAACTAAGACCAATTACTCTCTTACACGTGTACTCCTACTCTATATATAAGTCTGGACTTGTATTATGTAAGATAGAAAAAATCAATTAATAAAGTTTACTATTCCTTTTCTCTGTTTTCCTCCGGCTCTTGCTGTTCTTCATGGTATCAAGAGACGCAAGATTCTGAGCTTTCGCCATGGCGACATCAGCTTCCGCTTCCTCGTCGACGGCGGCTACCACCGGCGTACAGACGTCAGCTCCGGCTATCTCTCAATCTCTAAAGTTTGTCATTTCGAATCTTAAGTTTCTTGTACCGCACTCTCTCACGGCGGACAACTTTCCTATCTGGAGTTCGCAAATCGCTAAACTTTTCAAAGCCAATGGATTTGCGGCCTTTCTTGAAGCTCGATCGGCCACTGAAAATCGGGATCCAAATCAAGATCCGCAGCAGTGGACTGTTGTCGATCAGAATCTTGCAACGGCTATGTGCTCCACCATTTCTCCGGCCGTTCTACCCTACGTGATTCATCTTGAATCCACTCACGAGATCTGGTTGACGCTCCACACAAGGTTCCAGTCGTCGAATCGCTCCAAAGTCATACAGCTCAAGAATGAGCTACACAATATTTCTATGCAATCCATGTCTATGACGGATTACCTCACCGAAGTCAAGAAAATAGTGGATCAAATCGCCTCAGCGGGATCCTCAATCGATTCGGAAGATATCATGATTTATATACTCAATGGTCTTCCACCGGCCTATCAATCTTTCACGACAACGATTCGTACTATGCAGGGCACGATGACTCTGGACAATCTCTATGCTCTCCTCATCAGCGAAGAGATTCATTTGAAATCTGCAGCAATCAAATTTTCTAAAGACCCAGACACTCAGTCGGCTCTCTATGCGTTTCGCGGACGAGGACGTCGAGGTCGAACCAGACAAAGTCAGGACACAAATACCGCTCATAAATCTTCTAATCAACCCGCGGTAATTTGTCAAATTTGTAAAAAGAAAGGTCACGAGGCCGATGCGTGTTGGCATAGACTCAATGCCAACTATGTTCCTTCTCAAGGATCTTCCAAGAACTCAAATGCTTTGGTGGCAAAATCAGAAGGTCATACGGGTGCTGATTGGTACATCGACTCTGGCGCGTCGTCTCATATGACCAACAATTTGGAGAATCTAGCTCCATACAACACCTACAATGGCAATGATACGGTAACCATAGGGGACGGAAGATCCATCCCGATAGCTCATACGGGTGCGGGGATTCTTCCAACCCCGGCTAGTAAGCTTGTTCTTTCTCGTTTGCTGCATTTCGAGGGATTTCATTTGGTTCTTGACGACCGAGTACCATGCAAACATGGAGGAGAAGTTTGTGGGTTTCTTGCGGTCGAAACGAAGTAGAGAAGGGGATTGCATATATATAGATCGGGCTAGGATTAGTGGGCTCGCGAACAATGATGCGGAGGCATGCAGGAGAGCATCAAGGCGCGAACAGGACAGGCGGAGCACGGGGCCCAGGGCGCGGGGCAAGGTGCAGGGTCAAATCTGGGGCTATGCATGGTTCGTGAGAGGAAGGTGGGCCCTGTGCTGGTGTTTGCTCCGTACAGGCTCAGAACCGGAAGTAGGTGGAGCTTGATTAATTGTTTGGGAGACAGGATCGAGCAGGATACAAGGCCGGATTCGTCCACGAATCGGGAGAAGTGGAGGATCAGAAGAGAAGGTATTTCTTACGTTGTTATTCACAAACAGCAGGTGGAGCGAAGTGGAGTTGGGCTAGGGCTTGAGCAGGGAGACTCGACAAGATGACAGGGCAGTTTTTTAGGAAGTCGGAAACCATCCGGTGGAGGCAATTAGTGGGGAAGACCGACATGGATGTTCTTTGTGGACAACATATATCTTTTTTTGTTTAATCAAACAAAGGTAGAGATTATTAGATATTGGTCCAATTTTGGGTCATATTTACTTTTAGGTGCATTTTATCCTTTTTAGCTCTTTTGTTCTATAAATAAAAATGATTGTAATAGTTCTAGGTGTGCAAGTCAAGCCAATAAGAGATTAGTTCAGTTTTTCCCGGATCTCTTTCCTCCTTTATCTCATCTCTTCCAAGTAGCTCAATAACAGCTTCTTCTTTCTCCAAGATTCATAACAATGCATATACAAATTGGTATTTTTGTGGGCTCTCCTTTTTTTTTATTGTTTTTTTTTTGACATTAAAATCAAATTTTATTAACAAAAAAACAAATCAAGGAGCACTGTCATGTGCCCCTCATGTGCGAGCACATGCATGTAGACGCCACCGCCGACGCAGTCAGCCAACCAATTCGGCCGCCAAGGTGCATCTATGTCAAATTTTTTGCCCGAACAGTCTAATTTGGACGTTTTTGGAGCCCTTCGATCTATTTTTTGATGTTCCAAACTCGATTTTGACACTTTCACAACCAAACAGAACTTCTCCAGTCTAGAACAAACACGAAAAATTTTAGCTCAATTTGTTGGTATTTTTCGTTCTGATCGGTGCCCCGACTTCAGCAAATTATAAAGTTATGATCCAAGATATTTTACTTGGTTTACAACTCCGAGAGGAGGTCCATGTTGACGTCTAGGGAGTAGTCGAATCTAATAAATTATTTGAAATTTTAATTCTGCATAAACAATTTTCAAAAGCTTTGGCATATATTTTTGGAGTATGAGAGCTTGAACGTCTGAAAATAGTGGGGCAACTAATATGTCACTAAAAACTGTATTGATCAGAGACGAATCTCGATGCAAATTTAAATTAGAAAGTCCTAGAATTAAATTTGAGACCATCCAAACTCCAATTTCATTCAACTTATTATCAAATTAAATATATCAACAAGACAAACACAACAATGCCAAAATCGATCCAATATGAGTCCAAATGGACTCAAATCAAGGGATTAAAGCAAATTTTGAAGCTTAGAAGCCTAAATTGGATGATCAAATGACATCCAAATTATTCATGTTATTAGTTGAATCAATCAGCTCAACGTGACGTATCAATGAGCCCAAGATTACTTAATTTTGACATTACTAAGGCACTTAAATGCTTGACAAATGCTTCATAATCGAGGAAATTAATGTCATCCGTCCGATGTAACACTCCAAATTTATCCTAAATCTTTTTCATAATTACTTAACATGTCACTCTCAAAAATTATAAATAGACACTCATTCTTCACGTGAAAGTGGGGAGAACATATGAGAAAACTAAGGAGCTCTTTTGCATTCTCCAACCAATGCAACCATCAGATTTCCTTTTTACCACCAATCGCATCCATCGCTCACCGACTACGGTCCTTCCGACCTCCATCGCCAACTAACTATGATCCTTCCGACCTCCATTGTCAACTCACCACGGTCCCTCATACCATCGTTACGCTACTACTATCCTTCTAACTTCTATCACTGTTCGATTATGATCCATTCGGCCATAGTCACCCAACTAGGGGACTTCCAATCTCCGTCGCCCACTAACCACAGTCCCTCCTATCACGGTCACCCAACTATAGACGTTTCAACCATCATCATCTGACTATAATTGTTCTAAATACTATCGCCCTTCGAGTATGATCCCTCCGAGCACAGTCACCTGCCAACTATTGTCCTTCCAATCATCATCGCCCACCAACTATGGTCCCTCCGACCATCATCATCCAATTTCGATCCTTCCAACCTCCATCACTGGTAAACTATGATCACTCCAACCTTCGTCACACAACTATGGTCCTTCTGACCACTGTCACCCGACTACAATCGTTAAGACCACAGTCACTCAACTATGTTCCTTTCGAGCTTTGTCACTTGCCAACTACAGTCTTTTCGACCATCATCGTCCACTAACTATGATTCCTCCAACCACTGTCGCCAAATTATGATTTTTCTGATCTCCATCACTTGCTTATTATGATCCCTCTGACCTCTGTCGCCCAAATACAATCTTGCCAACCGAATAAACAAGTCAACATTCTCTTCAGAAAAACTCTAATGACTTTGGATTCTTCTAATCCCAACCATATAAAGTGTTATATATGATATATATATTTGCTAAATTAAGCCAACATTTTCCCCTAAGAAAGGATATCATTTGTAATTAAGAACAAATACTAGTGGATTTACTCAAGGCAGCGACCCGTAGATTTTCCTCTTTTCAGGAGTTTCCACGTAAAAATTATGTTGTCTCTTATGAATGCTGCATCTCTTTTATATTTATTTGTGTATTGGATCTTCGTTCAAAGCTAGTACTTTAAATTCCGTATTGATGTATCTCTTATCAAAAATAATTGTTCTAGAGCGCAATAATAATTAAAAAATTTTAATTCAATAATTTAACTTATCACTAAGGCCCAAATACTTATTCTTTCCATTTTTTTTTTCAATTATCTAATACTATTGAATCTGACAACTCCATGGTATTAATACCTTGAAGAGTAAAATAATTGTGAAAAGGAAAGCAATTTTGGAATTTAATATAATAGCTCGTCTATAAGCGCATTTTAATTTGTTTGTTTGAAGTTTAAACTTTCAATTAAGGGTTGTTGAGTCCGATGTCATATCTGAGAGCAAAGAAGGGAAGGAAGGCTGGAGACGGCGTGAATAGGAGAAACAGAGAAACAGAGAAAAATAGTATTCAAATTGATACAATGCTATTACAGGACTTAGTATAAATAAACAGAGAAATGGTAACATGGTAAATACAAAAGTAACGGTCACAAGAAGCCGTTTTATAATGTGTTAATATCCTCCCTCAAATTAAGTAGTCGGTGAGCGAGTGGTTAATTTGGAGCGTAATTCCATGAATCTTGAGACCGAGAATGGTTTAGTTAAGATGTCGGCAATTTGATCGGCGGAGGAGATGTGCTCGAGTTTGATGTTGCCGGAGTTGATTTGCTGACGAATGAAGTGATAGTCGATCTCGATGTGCTTTGTCCGGGCATGAAAGACCGGATTTTTGGCTATGGCCATAGCCGAGGTGTTGTCGCAGTGGATAGTGGTCGGTGATTGCTGTGTGAGCTGAAGTTCGGCGGCAAGTCTCCTTAGCCATATGACATCCGACGCTGCAGCTGAGAGGGATCTGTACTCGGCTTCGGTGGAAGACTTGGCGACAGTTGCTTGCTTTTTCACCGTCCATGAGATGAGGTTGGGGCCGAGGAAAGTGCAGAAGCCGGACACCGACTTCCGGTCGGTTGTATCTGAAGCCCAATCCGCATCAGAGTAAGTGCGAAGGTCCAGGGATCCGTGAGTGATAGGCAAGCCGTAGGTAAGGGTGCCCTTAATGTAGCGAAGCAGCCGTTTGAGATCATGAAAATCCTGTTCGGTCGGTGTTTGCATGTGTTGGCAGACGCGGTTTGTGGCATACGCAATGTCGGGTCTAGTGATCGAGAGGTATTGAAGTGATCCAGCGAGGCGTCGGTAAAGAGATGGATCCGGATGTGGTTGTAAGTTTGGTTTCTTCTGGTGATTGACGGGAGTGATTGGGGTTGGAGCGGCTTTGCAATCCTTATAACCTGCATCGTTAAGGATTTTGGTAGCGTAGTGTGCTTGAGAGAGAAAGAAACCATGTTTAGTACGGGTCACCTGGATTCCGAGGAAGAGAGAAATGTCCCCTAGTTGTTTGAGGGCGAATTGTTGTTTGAGTTGGGTGAGTAGGTGGCGAATTGCTGCATCATTGTTGCCTGTAACCAAGAAATCATCTACGTAAATTAGCAAGTATATAGAAATACCATTTTGATTAAAAATCAAGAGGGAAGGATCGGAACGACTAAACCCGAATCCGAGTTGTTGTAGAAAGCTTGTGAGCTTTTGAAACCATTGTCCCGGACGATCCTGGGAAAAATATCACTTTTCCCAGCAGCTACAGCAACAGCAAAGGAACGAGGTCTCACAAAATGGGCGATCGACAAAGATCGATGCTGAATATAATGGGTGGTCGACGACGACCGACATCGAAGAAAATTGACAGTCGACGACGATCGACGCCGAAGAAGATGGACAGCCGACGACTATTATCTGCTCCAACTTCCAATCCAATGATGAGAACCTCCGCCCGACTATCCTCCAGTCAAACTTCAACTCAAATGGTGTGATATGCCAGATCAACGACCCATCGCCAATGCTTCACACGAACGCACAACTCCACAATCAACCCATTGTGGTTGACAACTACCATATGCTCAAACTTCCTTTTCAGTGGCAAGATCCCCCTTCGTTTCAGCACGAAATCACAGCGAGCCAGACCATGCTTTAGCCTCCATATTGACAACTTCTCTCCACTTTCTCTCGCAACTAGACACGCAATCCACCCGCCGCTGCACAAACAGTTGTTGTTGCGAGCAAACACTCAATTCGGGCCCTCTTCACACCCATGTGGGATCCGCCCTCGTCCCGACTACAGTCACACGTGACTTCAAAACTCGTCAATCCGCAAACCCGCGACCATGCCCGTGCTCCACTCTTTCAGACCGAGCACGCCCGCTTCCCTCTCCATGTGTGTGGTCGATCTCCTACTATCTGACTTAGGTTTCGCCTCCACTTCCTCTCTCGACCAGAGTCGCGATCCCTACCCACTCTAGCGAAATTTCGGCCTCGACATTACTATGCTCTCGCTCCTGCTCCGCTACAGTGATTCCTCGCTCATGTGCGATTTGTGCCTATGTTCCACCTCTGTTGAGGAAGAAGTTGAAGATAGTGTGGATAGGTTTGACCAAGCAGTGGCTCACTTGTCTGATTCAGCACAAACAACCAAAGGATCGAAACAAGCCAAGAACGATGAAAACACAATCACAACTTTTGGAGGTTCTAAAATATCTACAACACTCCCTGACAATAATCTAATGCATAGAAAGAATTCCAGTAAGTCAATACTGAAGTTTTCATATGTCTCCGAATCATTTAACCTCCCACCTAAAATTTCAGAGGCCAATACAAAGATTATTCTTAGCACTAGTGAGACCGAGGCTAGCGAACTCCTGATCGAAAGAGAAACCACTATTTGCGGAGAAGAACAATACGTCAAACCTCCTCTCTGTCCTACACGCATGAACCGGTCCCGAACCCAAATAAGTGCAACTGATTCTGCACAATCGAACTCCAATTCTTAGAACTAGTGTGGCCAAGGCTTCATTATTTTGATATTCGTTGGACAACCCATCTTCATCTTTTACAATCTGCAATGCTTCACAAGTTCCGGCCTCCGATATTAATTGTTGTAGCGGATCGCCATTGGAAGAAGAAGATGCAAGAGCACAAATACAGGGGAACCAATAACAAACTCATAACAGCATATATAATATATCTTCTCCTCATATATATTAAATATATAATATCAAGTTGTATTTTCATAAAATAACTATAAAGAGAGAAAATGTTGTAAATAGAAATTAGTATAGAACAAATCGAATATAAAATATTGGTAGTAAGATGTTCCTGCTTGTTAAAATGCTTCACATCAATTTCATTATTATTTATGTCACTAATAACTTTAATTAGTCATAATTTATTATAAAACTATCAAAAAAAATTTCCCATAGATTTTTTTTTTTCAAAAATCTGATAAAGTTAATATAATTAATCTAAGGAAGCTTGATTATATTTGAGCTTCGTTTGGGACAGCTTCCTTTATGATTTCTAAAAAAAAATTAGTATAAAATTTTCTAATTCAAGAAATTTTTATATTAGAAAGATGTTTTAGAAATTAGAATGCAACAAAAAGTTGCTTTAGGCTTCGTTTGAGACGGCTTTCTTCCTGCTTCATAAAACTACTTTTTAGTATAAAAATTATATTTTCGTAATAAAAAGCTGCTTTAAGAAGCAATAAAAAAACCCGTCCCAAATGAAGACTTATGCTTTATTTGGATGACTTTCTTTTTTTTTTAAATAAATTTTTTGTACAAAAATTAAAATTTATATTAAAAATTTACTTTAAAAAATAAAAAAAAACGGTCGCGGTCCCAAAGGAAGCTTTAGTCACTCTTTCGAAGTAAAAATTTCACTAATAACGTTATATCCAGCTTTAATTTGGACGGAATATATGTTTCTATTAAAAGTTATTTTTCAATAACCTTTTCAAAAACAGTATTCTAAGATAAAATTTGACAAAAAATAAATATTTATCATTCCAAGTTTCCAACCAATTTCTTATCCTTTAAGGAACAAAAAAAGTCTTGAATGACAACTTCCAATTATGCAACGGCCATAACACAATTATGTAATATTGTCTCTTTTTCTTCAACATCAGGTAGCTAAAAGCCTAATTTTCCAAGGCTGGATGAATGGCCTCCACCATGACTGCACTTTTCTTCCTTTTTCTAGTATCCTTTATCTCCCCGTAGACATAGGAAGTGAAACCCCAGATTGAGAGCACAAGAGCCACCGCCTTATCACTGGTGAACGGCTCATGGAAGAAGATGACAGCAAGAACCACCGTCACCGGAAGGAGGACGTCGACGACGATGCCGGTGAGCAGCGCCGACGAGTAGAGAACCACACCTACTCTCCCCAGGAAGAAACACTGCATGACCACAGCGAAGGATATTATCACCATGTAATACTTGGTCTCGCCTAGTCCGTACTCCTTTGCTTCTTTCGAGATGACCTGCATTCCGTTGTAATTTAATGCATATTTTATTAATCAGTTGATTAAGGTAGTTATTAAGTATTTGTACACAGCTCTAATTTGGCTCTTAATTAAGAGCATCCTTGTGGTCAAAATTTTTTTTCATGTGGGAACACAAATCATTAAAGTAAAAAAAAAAATCAACTTTTTACTGTCACCAACAGTTAAAAAAAAATAATAATCATTAGATTCATTAATAAAATATATGATAAAGTATAATAAAACTTAAAAAGTTGACACTCATACATCCAATTAGTTATTAGTATTAAAGGCCATTGAAAACCAAACAGTTTTCAAAAAGTCAACACTCTAATAAAATAAAAAATAAAAAAAAAGTTAAAAAAAAGGTCAACACTCCAATGATTTACTAATTTTGGATGAACAAGATTTACTAAGTCCTATTTTGCTTAAATTGCAGTTGATAATGAGTGAAAACGAAATATTTTTAAAAATATATTTTCTATTTTGAAGCAACCAAATGATCCCTTCTATAGTTTACAGAGAAACTGCTAAGATGCTGAGAGTGATACAGATAAAGTTATGACTTTTGTTATAGGGCTTACAGTATAATGATGAAAGATTGATTGACTTTAACGTCAAACCTTTAAAATAAAAAGAAAAAATCAATCCAAAAAGAAAATAAAAATCAAAAGAAATAAAAACAAGTACGTACATAGTCAAGAGCAAAACGAGGTCATAATTTCTAACATTAATAAACAAATAAATACATCATGAAAAACACATGAAGGAAGTAGTAGATCTGCCTTTGGACGTACTCATCAACGCAAAGTCGTTATGAAGAAAATATTCGTCAATTCAAAACAAAACGTGAGCAAATCATGATAAAATCTAACATGAGAGGCAATCCACCGCAAAAGCTAACTTCTTGTTATAAAGCAGCAAAATAGAGTGAGATAGCTGTAGAGAAAATAAAGAAACAAGACAAATCGAGCTTCTAAACCCTGTTTGGCACAAAGAAAGTTCGATCTTTTGGTATTGGGATCAGTTGAATAAACTTTGTAGCTAGAAAAACTATGAGATAATTAAGATAAGCATCCAATACTGATCTCTTATGAAAGGCGATAACTGGCTCCTCATGCTCCGCCTCCGCAGGGTACGCCGTGCGCAGGAGAGAACCAGCTTAAATTTTGAGGGGGGCAAATGAAATACATGAATAATTAAATATTAAAAAAAATAATGTTATATATTTATATATTACGAAAAGCTTTTTTAAAAAAATTTAACCAAGAAAAATAAAGAAAAAATGTATAATTAAACTGTAATGAAAAGATTGAAAGAAAATATTAGAACTAAATGTATAGAAATATATATATATATTAGCACAAGTTAGGACAAAATAATTTTTTAGGGGGGGGCAAAAATAAATTTTTAGGAGGAGAAACTTTTTTTTTACCCTACTATTAAGCTCCCCCCCCCCCCCCAAAGAAAGATCATAATTTAAATAGGTATTAGCTAAAGGATCTTAATAATAAAAAAGTTTAAAGAGGATCATACCAGTGAATAGTAATCAAGTTTTTGAAGAAAATGCGATTATTGTTTGCATTTTCAAGCAAAATGTGAACACTGATAGCATTTTCTTTGAAATCGCCAAACATATACTGCATTTTCAATGAAATTATGTTTAAGTAATTATTTGTGTCAATCCAAATGTCATGATTGCCTTGCTATTATTGATAAAAAAAGTAGCAACATAATTAGATGTAAAAATATAATAAATCACTTATTTAGTTTGCATTTTTTAAATAATAAAAAATTCTGAATTTTGATTTTTTTTTTTAAATAAAAATTAAACAACTAAATTTTGTATATATTAAATTGAATATAAGTATTGATTTATTATAATTAGTATTATATTTAGATTTATTATATTTTTAACATTTGATTATTTCAAAATATATTTATCATTTATTAATAATATTAATATTATGAATAATATTAATTAATATCCCATTATCATAATTATAAAATATTAAATATTATTAAAATATGAATAAATAATAAATAATATAAAGTATATTAGATATTAATTTAATTACATGCATTATTAATTTAATTTCATATTATATATTATTCATCATATGAAATGTGATATTAATTTAATTTATAATAAATTATATCAATTTCAAAATTAAAATAAATATTATTCAAATATGTCAATTTTAATAATTTATGATTACTCTAAATTATCTCCTTTACAATTATAGAAATGTTCATTACTAATAAAAATTAAAACTATTTCCCTTATTTCAATTTTGTTGAAACTAAATAAAATCAGATAAATGAGAAATATATTTTGAAATGATCAAATGTTCAAAAATATAATAAATCTAATTATAATACTAATTATAATAAATCAATAATTATATTCAGTTTATTACATAAAAAGTTTTAATTGTTTAATTTTCATTTTTAAAAATATTAAAATACAAAAATTTATATTATTCCAAAAAAAATGCAAACTAAACATGTGATTTATTTAATTTTTACATCAAATTATATTGCTACTTTCTTAACCAATAATAGCAATGCAATCATGACATTTGAATTGACACAAATAATCACTTAAATAGAATTCCATTGAAAATGCAATATGTGTTGGAGTTTTCAAGGAAAATACAATCACCATTCATGCTTTCCTTGAAAATACAAACAGTAATCGAAACGTGATTATTGTTCACTGATTTGATCTTTTTAATTTTTTTTTATTATTAAGATCCCTTTGCTAAAACTTTTTTAAATTATGATCATTTTAAAAAATTGCCTTTAATTAAACTTTCAGTGAGGGGGCTGGACCCCACACTGCATTCGCCCTAACTACAAGGTTTTGAGTTTGAGTCTCGTGCATGTTCAGTGTGTGTATGGGTACTGCTCTTAATTTCTCTCTATATATATATAATTTTTTCCTAGATTAAAAAAACTTAATTTGTTAAATTTAATTAAACTATTTATGAAAATTAGATTATAATTTTTTTTCATTGAGAGTAATCGAATTAATCAATCAATAGCAAGCTACCAAACGTTGTTTACTCGTAGTTTTATCGTGTTTCCAGCTCCAATCATTAGAGACGTACTACTTCTGCAATAAATTGTGGGAATAACACATCATTATATTTCAGAATTCGTAAAAGGTTTTTATTAATGTGAGGACGTATTGGATAGCCTGAGAAGCTCATCGTTTTGAAATTTCTTAGCCAGCGGCATGGTGATTTTTTCTAGGTTCTCCCTTTTCTTTACTTTTTTATTCATCGTGCACTCTGAATTTTTCTTTTGGAGATTTTTGAGCTAATTAAGATTTTTTTTGAAAAAAATTAGGTGCAGTGTTCAAATACATACATAATATAGACGTGAGTCTCGAATCAAATACTTCTTAGTTGGAAGTCAAACTCCTAATCAACAAATCAAAAAAAGCTATGTAATTAAGATAAATTCACACACATATTATATTCGTAAACTTTGAATTTTTGACCTTCTAATCAATAGTAAATGCTCCCAACAAAAAAAATCAAAATGAGCTGTTTTTTTGTGATTATGATGAGTAGATCAATTCCGTTATTTATATTATTTGGAATATGTTTTATACGTCATCATGAAATTATCTTGATTGGGCACGAATCTCGAGGCAAAATCAGTTCGGACTTAAAAAATTAAATTTGAGAGCATATGAACTCCGATTTCAGCGAGATTATAGTCAAACTGAGCATCTCGAAAATATGAATCCAATGACACCAAATTCGACCCAATCCGAGCCCAAATGAGTCTGAATCAAGGACCCAAAGCGCTGTTGGAAGCTTCAAACTGCAGTTTGAGTTACCAAACGGTCTTCGATTTTAACGAGCTTATACTCCAATTGAGCGGCTCGATAAGACGAATCCAACGAGCCCAAGATCTCCAAATTCCGACATCATTAAGACCTTCAAATATCCAACGAACGGTGCACGATCGTATGATTCAATATCGGCCGTTCATTCAAACCACTCCCAATTCGCCCATGATCTCACGCCTATTTACGGGCTATGCCACTCTAGAAAAACTATAAATAGAGCCCTCATTCTACACAAAGGGGAGTCAAGTGAAGAGAGAGAAGAAGAAGAGAAGAAGGAGGAGAAGAAAGAAGCTCTTCCTCGACCACCGCCGGAGCTCTTCCTGCCGCCTAAAGACGTCGGAACTCTGCCAGATTTTCGGGAAACGTCGGAAATTTGCAGAACTTTGTAACTTTGTGAGAAGTTGATTGTAAATTGATCGTCTTGATTTGTAAGACAGATCAACCTTTGTAATTCAAACAAATACTAGTGGAATTTTGCAACTGGGCGAGGCCCCGTGATTTTTTCCCTCTTTCGGGTTTTCCACATAAAAACTTTGGTGTTCATTTCTCTTTTCTGCTTGTGTGCTGAATACTCGTACAACGCTAGAACGTGAATTTACAAACTCTACCACCGCGTATATTCTAGCACGCAACAATGCTTTTGTTATGAACCATTCATATATCTTTACCCTTGCATTTGATTGACTAAAAATACCTTTCATATCATTGTAATAGTTTAATGGAGGAGCCATGATTTTTTTATACAAGACATGTAATTTTATTTTATTATTTTAAAAGGTAAAATTATAAACTAATATATGCCGCATATATTATATCTTGATCCAAATAACTCTTAATTGAAAGCTTAGACTCAAAATCAACAAAGTACAAACTAGAATGAGCTCATAAACTTGGCTATTATATCGAAGTCCATAATTCTTCTCCATTTCAAAATTATTTTTGTTTTCATGGTGTTGTAAGTTGTTAATATATGATAGCATATTAAACTTAATAGCATTAAATAGTTAAAATTATATTATTATGTGAATAATAATTAATTGGTCCTCAGTGTGGCAAATTTAATTACCTGGGTTAAAATTTAATCATTATTAAATCATTTAAAATAACTTCTAATTTTGACATGCTTTTGATACATACTCTTAGGAATTGTTTGGGGCGACTTTCTTACTGTTTCTTAAAGCAGCTTTATAGTAAAAAAAAATTAATTTTTTAATAAAAAGTTGTAAGAAAGCCGTCTCAAACGAAGTCAAAATTATTTAAGAAATAATGATTAGAATAAAACGCATTGATTCATGATGACCTGTTGGTCCGTAAATATATGAGTGTCAAAATATTAGCTAGTTTAGTTAGCCAGTTCAATAAATAAATAAAGTTATGATCAAATTTCTTAAATATAAAATTTGTGTTTTAGCACTTTATAATCAGTTGAAATTATTTAATCTTCGTTCTTAAGGCTGAAAAGCTTCTGAAGATGGAGATTGCATTGATCCGTTTGTATAATCTTTTGATTGTGTATTAATCATCCCATGTCTTGAAGAATTCAAAATTCATTTTAGTAAACTTTACTTAATAAATGGAATAATAAAAATATAATTGTTCTAATCAAGAGGTTATTCTCACCTGGAATTCATTGTTGATCAACATCCCCACGGCGCAGAAAGCCGTGGCAAAAAAACCCATGACCACCTGCGTCTCCAACACCATCGTGTAAGTCACTAGCTGCCTCGCCTTCTTGTACATCAACTCCGATAGCGTCGGCAATAGCCCGTCGAGCAGCGCTGCCCCGAGCGTCATGGCGAATCCAAAGTAATAATGCGTCCGATTCTCTCCCTCTGGCCGATTCCCGGCAGAATTTACACCCAGAATCACAGCCCCAACGGTCAGCAAAACCACCGCGTTGATCGAGAACGGAGTGAACCTCTGCTTCACTATAAGGAACGAGAAGAGCGCGGTGAAGCTGAGCTGTGTGGAGAGGAGAAGCGAAGAGATCGAGACGGGGACGTAAGAGAGGCCGTAGGCATAGAAGAGGTTGACGAGGCCGGTGAGAAGGCCGAGGATGGTGCATGAAAGGAGGAGGGGTGGAGTTCTGAGGGAGCAGAGTTTGGGTTTGTTTGAGTTGGAGATTAGGAGAGGAGGGAGGAGGAGAGGAAAGGCAGCAGTTTGGAGGAATGTGGAGAACCATATAAGATGGCCGCCGTGAACGAAGTAGAGGCGGAGGAGAAGTGGCATGCCGCCGCAGCCAATGACGAGGAAGAAGAGGTTGAGGAAGAGGAAGGGTGATAGCCTCTTTTTGCTTGCTGGGCTTTCTTGGTTGATTGAGTTATTATACACCACTTGGGATTCAATAGCCATGGCTGATGGCTTACGGATTTAGAAGAATCTCTTGCTCTTTCTTTCTCTCCTTCTGTTTATCTTTGTTTTGCTAATCCAATACTAATTCCTCTTCGGTTGCGTGTTTGTGGGTTTATAAAGCAAATAGGCTATTTATCGGAGAGATTTGCTTAGGAATGAAATTTTCAATTACCAAATATATTATTATATCGAAAATAAAATTTCAGTAGATCCTACACGGAAGCGAGACTAGTAATTGTAATAGAGATGAAGAATGCAAATTATTTATATAACAATTATTATATATTATTAAATAATATTTAAATTAATTATTTATTTACGATAAAATTATAGTATTGAATATTGATAATATCCTTGTGCATACAACGCTAAAGCCATCAAGATTAAGGATCTTTCAAAGTAGACATCGAACTGATGCCTATATAATTATCACAAAAAAAAAAATAGTTTTTTTTATTATTTATTATGACTTAATATTTTATCTTTAAAAAAGGTGCTCCTGCTCGTGTTGGTCTTGTTGCCCCTATTGATGTTGTTGTTCCTCCGGGCAACACTGGCCTGGATCCTTCACAGACCTCTTTCTTCCAGGTGCTCAACATCCCTACCAAGATTAATAAGGGTATTGTTGAAATTATCACCCCGGTCGAACTGATAAAGAAAGGCGATAAGGTGGGATCCTCAGAGGCTGCCCTCCTTGCTAAGCTGGGGATTAGGCCATTCTCTTATGGCCTTGTTGTCCAGTCTGTGTATGAGGATGGTTCGGTGTTTAGTACCGAAGTGCTCGACCTCACTGAGGATGATCTCTTCGAGAAAATTTCAGCCGGTCTTTCTATGGTCACCTCTCTCTCACTGGCTATCTCGTATCCTACCCTAGCTTGCTGCAGCTCCCCACATGTTCATCAATGCTTACAAAAATGTCCTTGCCGTCGCAATTGCCACTGATTACACGTACCCGCAGGCTGAGAAGGTTAAAGAGTATTTGAAGGATCCCAGTAAATTTGTTGTTTCTGCTGCACCTGCTAAATCCGTTACTCCGGCTGCCTCTACTACTCCGGCGGCTGCAGTGGAAGAGAAGAAGGAAGTGCCTGCTGAGGAATCTGATGATGATATGGGTTTCAGCTTGTTCGACTAAGCTTTGTTGTTGGCCTTCTTCTAGAAATCAAAAATCACTAGTAAGATTTGGAATCATTGTCTTTGGGAGTTTTCATTTTGTCGATACTGTTTTGCAGAACTTTGAGATGTTGAATTTTTTTTGTTAGCAGTTTGGTGATAATATTTTCTTTGAATTGTTATAAAATTATATATATATAATGGTCAGCCCCCCATTTTACATTTCCAAATGTCCAATCTCCTTGAAAAAATGCCAGTAAAGTCTAAAAAATGGGCAGAGAGCCCTGGACTTTTGTTTTTGAGGAAATAAAGCCCTGGAGTCAATCAGCATGTTCAAAAAAAAAAATGATTAGAGAAACACAACAAGCTCCATTTGCCAAAGAACAATGAAATCGCTACTGCGACGTTAGCTAAAAAAGGTATTGAACCATTGTCTTGGTGCTTGTTTGAGTCCTTATATAACTTTCTTAAGTTGACAAACATGATTAAGATGAGTTATCATCTTCTAATTGATGTAGTTGTCACTTATTGACAAATTCAAAAGTTAGAAGAATTCTTATAGTGGAGAACTTAGCTACTGTACTGAACATTTTAAGGTAATTGATGCCGTACTATTGGTAGTTGACTTGCACAAAAAGTCTTGCTTTAAACACTGCAATTGTTCCCATTAAAGTGGTATTTTGTTCTAAATGTCCAACGGCTGCCTAGTATAGGCGTATTAGCAGGAGGTGGAATAAGTTGCCATGTGTCTTGCTTTTGTAATGCAAAGAATTTCTCTACCATAGCTTTCCTCTATTGAGGAAATTTCATAGCCTCAGAGCAATTTGTTGGTTCTGGCTGCATAGAGGAATCAGGATGGATGTGTATGAAGGAGATTTAGTCTTTGTCTCGGTTTAAGAGAGCCGGTTTTAAGGCTGGCTGTCTTTGGATGGAGAAATTATTGTGTGCGGAATCCGACATGTTCGGAGGTGAATGTGGGCATGACACATCACCGAGGCTCAGTGCATCCGGTGACGTGTCGCAACCGGATTCGTCTCCGAATGTATTTGGATTCCGCACACAATAATTTCTCCATTGGACGAGTTGGAAGTGGTGGTTGGGATGAAAGAATTATTATATATTATTAAATAACATTTAAATGAATTATTTATTTATGATAAAATTTTATTATTGATAATATCCCTGTGCATGCAAAAATTGAATCCATCAAGCATGCGGATCTTTCAAAGCAGACATCCAACTGATGCCTATATAATTATCACAAAAAAAATTATTTTTATTTTTTGATTATTTATTTGACTTCATATTTTATCTTAAATTAAAAAAACAAATTATAATGCCAATTTAGCTTTATTTAAATAAAAAATTTTAGAAATAAAATTATATTTTAAATAGCATATATTGACATTTTATTTAAATGAATTAATCTAAACAATTTGATAACCTAAAAAAAAAAAAAATTAAATATGGCTGACAGACCTCTCCCAACTCTGAAGATCAAGTCACTCATATAATCGCCGGCTCCCCATCTTACTTTTTCAAATGTCCAATCTTCTTTAAAAAATGCCAATAAGTCTAAAAAGTGGACAGAAAGCCCTGGACTCAAATCAGCATGTTCAGATAAAATCAGATAAGAGAAGAAACACAAGAAGCTCCATATTGAGTATCGTGAAAAGCAGGGAAGTGATAAAGATAAAAGAAGGAAGAAACATAATATATAGAGGTTTTCTGTATTTCATTATTAACCTTTCACAGAGTGAAGTGGTGTGCTTATATAAGAAATCAAAGGATGGTTTGTTAGGCAGCACATGCTGCCGTTGTTGAAACTTTGCAAACAAAGAGATGCGTCTTTTAATTTATTTTTTTTTTATTTTTAATTTTTGGCGGTTTTAAACATTGTATTATCTTTTTATTTCTTTGAGTGGGACGTGAATTATTTTTGTGTGTGAAAAAAAAAAGTTTTGTTTTGAAATTTTCTTCCATTTTTTTTGTTCTGTTTTTGCTTCCATCATTGGTATCAGAGCCCGATTGGAGAATGACAGCGAGTTCAAGCACCAATAATTTGCAACCTTAGTTGCCCAAGTTCACGGGAAAGAACTACAATCAATAGAGTATTCAAATGCGGGTGTTGTATCAATCTGAAGAGTTGTGGGAGATTGTAGAGAGCAGTTTTTAGGAGCCCGAAGTTGAGAGAGATTTGAATCAAATGCTTCCTCAAGAATTGAAAGAAAATCGGAAGAAAGATCGAAAGGCTCTTTTCTTCATCTATCAAGCGGTAGATGAAATTATTTTTGAGCGGATCTCTAGGGCTAATACCGCGAAGGAGGCTTGGGATACACTGCATGCTTCTTACAAAGGAGATGAGAAGTGAAAATGGTACGTTTACAAACCCTATGAAGCCAATTTGATATGTTGAAGATGAAGGAGTCGGAAAGTGTGGAAGAATATTTCAATCGGATAATTGTCATTGTTAATTAATTGAAGTTGAATGGAGAACTTGTAGAAGATAAAAGGATTATTGAGAAGATTCTATGAAGCTTGACCAGAAAATTTGAAGTCACGGTAGTAGTCATAGAAGAAGCAAAGAACATAGAGAAAATGTCTATTGAATAGTTGCTTGGATCTCTTCAATCACATGAATTAAGAATGAAGCAATTTGATTCGACACCACTTAAGGAAGTCTTCCAAACTCAAGTGGCATTGAGTGGGAATTTCAGAGGTAGTCGTGGAAGAGGTTTTGGTAGAGGAAGAGGCTCTTTTAGTAGAGGAAGAGGCTCTTATGGTACTCGATGAAGAGGCCGTGCTGTTAGAGGAGAATCTACACAAAGTGATGGATGTGAAGTACAAGGTGGAAATCATGGTGATGGAGAAGATGCACGTGGTTGTGGACATGGCTTCAGAGGTATAGGAACAAGAAATCTTGCCAATATCAAATGTGACTTTTGCAAAAGGTACGGGCACACTTATCATTTTTGTTGGAAGAGGCAAGAGAATGAAGAGGAAAATGTAAATATTGTGTAAGAAAAGGAAGTGGAAAAAAGTGAATACACAATGTTTCTTATACATAGTAAGGAGTTTGGTGATTCAGGAGATGTATGATTTATTGATAGTGGTAGTAGTAATCACATGACTGGCAATAGAAGATTGTTTGTTACTTTGGATAACTCAATTCAAAGTGAAGTATGTACGGGAGATGAAAACAAATTATTTGTGGAAGAGAAATGTGACATTTTGGTGCAAACAAGGAAGGGAGAAAATGAGATATCATATATCTTCTATGTTTCAAATCTTAAGCATAATTTGTTTAGTGTTGGGCAACTAAATCAAAAGGGATATGTGTTGACATTTTATTCTGACAATTATATCATTAAAAACAAGCGTGAATTTTTTATAGCCAAGGTGAAGGTGACTCCAAATAAAATGTATCCGATGAAGATGATTTGCAGTTTGAATGGTTGTTTGAAAACTTCCATAGATAATTATTCAAGATTATGGCATTGCAAATTTGGTCACTTGAGTTCCAAGACACTTTCTTATATAAACCAAAAAAATATAGTTGATGGGCTTCCACATATTGAAGTTCAAGACAAGATCTGTGAAGTATGTGTTGCAGGAAAGTAGAGCAGAGCACCATTTTCAGTTGAAAAATCATGGAGAGCCTTGAAGCTTTTTGAGCTTATTCATTCAAATTTATGTGTACTGATGCACACTACTTCTGTTGGAGGTAATTGTTATTTTCTAATATTTATTGATGATTATAGCAGAAAAGTATGAGTATATTTTCTGAAAGAAAAGTCACAAGTATTTAAATACTAAAAAATATTCAAAACACTTGTAGAGAAGGAGAGTGGTCATTTTATTAAGATGTTGTGGAGTTATAGAGGTGGAGA